TTTTCCAGGGAGGAAAATGTGCAGCAGTGAATGAATGGAAATCCAAGTCTTTATAAACTTTCATTAAAATCTCAAAACTGTATGCCCCCAATTCATAAATGTCCTGCTACTGTGTCAAGTGTTCAGAGAAACAGGGTTAGGAGGGAGGGTTTAAATAAGGTTGTACCTTTGTAGAGTCATCCGCTTGGTATGGAACACTTGGAACCTGGAAGACACAAACTTCACCAATAGATAAAATAAGCAAGGTTTAGAAAATTAACCAGGCAAATTATTAGTATTAGGACTGCAGAACCCTTTCCTTCCTCTCTCAGAATGGCTACTGAAAGAATCTAATAACAGGAAACAACAGTTGTGCTTTTTCTCTCTGTGAAACTATCCTAACCCCCATTTTCCCAGGAATAGTTATCTGAGACACCAGAGCACTTCTCTTTAAAGAAGCATCTGTATGCATCCCATTGCCCAGTTCCCATGTAAGAAAGTATAAAATCCCCCTCTAGCTATTAGTGGGGCTGGTCTTCTGCTTGAGATCCAGCCCAGCAGTTTCTCCTCAATAAACTATCTTTCTTGGCCTGCACTGGGTACTGTCCTTCCTTGGCAACCTTACAATTAGGACTGGTGTTTTAAAAGAGGAAGAATCATGAGGTTTAACTTCATATCTGAGAATAGGTACCTTATAGCTGCTGACAGATTTAAGTGGTTTAGTCTGCTAGCTATTGTTTCTATGTTAATCAGAAACGTGCCCTCAAATGGACCAGGACTCATAGTGACCCTACATACAGTATTTCTGAACCCTGCTCTATTTTGTCCCAATCTCACTGACTCCAACACACCCATTATGCCAGGTAGTGTGTCAATCCATTTCACCCAGGATCTTCCTCTCCTGCATTGTCCTTGCACTCTTTCAAGCATGCTCTCTCCAATGAGTCCCTTCTGACAACACGCCCAAAGTATGTGAGACAGAACCTCAAAATCCTAGCTGCTAAGGAGCATCTTGGTTTTACCCTCTCCAGGCAAGACCTGTTTGTTCTCTTCTCCAGCATCCCAGCTCAAAGACATCAATTCTTCTGTCATCCTTAGTGACTATCCATATTTCAGATGCATAGCAAGCAAGAAGACCATGGCTTGGATGCAGTCTTTAGACTGATACAGTTGCTTTTTAGCACTCTGGAGAGGCCCTTGACAGTATAATCTCCCAAAGCAATTCATCTTTTTATTTCCTAACTGCTGGTGCCAAGGGTATTGATTGTGGAATCAACCAAGATGAAACTTAACAACTTCTATCTTCACCTATCATGATGCTGCCTAATGGCCGGTTGTGAGGATTTTTGTTTTCTTGAGGTACAAATCCATATTGCAGGCTTCAGTCCCTGACCTTCTGCAGTAGGTGCCCAAGTCCTACTTTATTTGGGTGAGCAAAGTTGAGTCATCTGCATAATACGGGTTGTTGATGAGTCTTCCTCCAATTTTGATACCATATCTTTCTTCATAAAGTCCAGCCTCTTGATCTGTTTGGCATATAGATGCACTCCTTTCTTGACTTTTGAACCACACAGTGACCACTTGCTCTATTTGGACAACAGCTTCTAGGTCTGGGCCTAGGTTTGACACTATATCTTAATCTTGTCCTTTCATTATTTTAAGCTGGTACTTAGTCCAACTCAAAACTCCATCTTCTCCAATAAATTTCCTATTCTACTTGCAAAAAAAAAAGCATCATCTTTTGTCCTGCCATTCCCATTCAACAAAAGAAAAACTCAAACCCAAGCTCTGACTTCAATTTTTAAAAAAGCATATTATCTTAAGTGTCTAAGAAAGTTAACTCATTGCCCTCCCTCATATCAAAAAACATGTTGCCCTGACATGCAGACAGAGCAAAGATAAAAGGGAAGAGAATGACTCTCTAGATTGTAGTAGAGAAAGACTATCTTAAACCTTCTCTACTCTCTCTCTGCCATGCTTGGTGTGTGTTCTCACTCATGAACTGTTTTTATTTACTTTGGTGATAGTGAAGGTTCTATCCTTTCAAGCGGTCCTGGACTCTCGCTTAAGTGATCTCAGGTTTCATTTGTGTAATCCTGGATTTTAGCACCAAAAACGTTACTACATAGTATATGCCCCAGTTCAGGTCTCCTTGCTTGGACAAAGGACTGAAACAAGTGGGAGACAAAGGAAAACCAGCCATGACCAAATTCCCTGGATTTGGACTAATTATGTTCTGCTCAAAAGTATCTTATCATGGACTGAACCTCTGTTAGAGCACTGTTGAGAGGAAAGGCAGGAAGGTAGGATGAAAGTGAAAGAAAGGCAATTTTTATTGGAAAAGTTAGATCTCAGAGAGAGGCACTTGCTGAGATAGGTCAATCTTTCAAAGTAAAGAAATGAAGACACTTTGCTAGCCAAGGTGGGGTCTAACATAGCTGGTTGATTGATTCCACAGTTTGACATGCTTCTAGGCTTGAGTCTGAGCCAATGGGATGATTAGGAAGGCAATCAATGGGATGTTGTGGTGAGTGATTCTGACTCCTTATTCTTGATCTCACTCTTTGGGACAGCCTAGGACCCATGTCCCTAGTTCTGACAGGGTAGGACACTATGAAAGCAGCATAACACATCACAGAACTCCAGAGACCTGGAGGCAACCACAAAGCAGTGGGCTTAGCAGAGGCCTTGTGCCTGAAGTGCTCTGGAAAGGAGTACTGGCCTTATAAATAAAACACATAAAGCCTTTCCTTATAATATGATTAATGGAATGTTCCTTTCTTCTGGCAATAAGCACCTTGTTACAAGGTGCCTGGGTAGCACAGTAGGTTAAGTGTTGAGCTACTATAGGAAAGACTGACAGTTTGAACTCACCAGCCAGTCTGCTGCAGAAAGATAATATAGTCTGAGCCTGTAGAAATATACAGCCTTGGAAACCTTATGGGGCAGTTCTATTGTGTTCTATAGGGCCATTATGAGTTAGAACGGACTTGATGGCAGTGGCTTTGTTAGAAACTTTTTTTATTAAGGCATAGCTCACATAAAAAAGAATCATTTTAAAGTGAATTCAGTGACATTTATACATTATACTGTGTATCCATCATCTCCATCTACTTTCAAATCATTCATTACCCCCAAAAGTAACCCTATATTCAGGAAACATGTATTTTCCATTCTTCTCACATTCTGTCCCTGGCAGCCACTAATCTGTTTCCTGTCTCCTATTCTTTCCTATTGATTTGTTGACTTTGGATATTCCATATAAATGTTACTCTTGTGACATTTTATATCCAATTTCTTTCTCTTAGCATAAACATTCTGATGTTAACTGACACTATGATCCTTTGCCCATTTTAAAAATAGGTGGTTTATCTTTTAGTTGTTGAGTTGTAAGACATCTTCATATTTTAGCTATTAGGTACATATCAGATACATGATTTGCAATTTTGATGTTTTTGCAAAAGTTTTTTTTCCACTTTCTTGATAATGTCCTTTCAAATACAAAAAAATTTCATTTTCATAAAGTCCAATTTATTCATATTTCCATTGTTGCTCTTGTGTTTAGTGTCTTTTCTCTGTGTGGGCTCCAGAACGGGTGGTTTTTCCATGCAAAATCTGCTACTCACAATGTCACTGGAGAGTACAGTTCATTTATGGTATGGTGGGAATTATAGTAAAAACTTGTTGTGCATTTTCTTCATCAATAACCCACAAATCAAGACAACAGTTGGGAGAGTGAGGTGCAACACAAAATTTGTCCACACAGCTCTAAATATACAGTAATTCTTCAGGTAACATTGCTGTATACACACAAAGTACACTGAAATGATAATATCCAAAATAAAATGGTGACATTCTATTGAGTTTTTTTTCTTTTCTGTGCCCTTTTCCATTAAAATAAATTTTGCACAATGAGAGCATACTATACTATATACTGATAATATATTAAAACATGACAAATTATTAGAAAATATAAACTATACTTATTTATGCCACAGAATTGAAAATGAACTTTAGAGTGATATATTTCACCTTAATGTTTACATTAGAAAACATTACATACACAATGGAAATTAATGCTCTTGTTAAGGCAACAGTAAATTCCACATTTAAAACTCTGATAAGATCCCAATTCTTACATAAATTTTAAGCACTAAAAGGGAACCAGTATGATCAACGGCTTTTACACAATGATTACAGTCTCATGGTCTTTCCAGTGTCTGAGGTCCTGAGAAAGGAGGGACACTGAAGGCTTCCCTCACCCTTAACATCCATAGGACCCACACACAATGTAATGTATCATGAGTTGTTTAACAGTGAAAAATACGTATCAATGTTCCTAGTAGGTTACATTTATATGATGTCTCTACTGTAAAGTGTAGTGGCCTAGTGGCAAGAAGCTGCACTGAAATCCCAAAGGCACACGATTTGAATCCACAAGCTGCTCCGCAGGAAAAGAATGGGAAATCTTCTCCCATGTGATTAACTGCCTCTGAAAACCCACCAGAGTCAACAATGGGTCTTTTCCAACTCAGTGATACACAAGAACAACAACAACAGTGAGGTGTATCTTAAGTTCAGTTAATTAGGGACGGATTTTTTTTTTAAATAATGTGAAATTGATTAAAAATATAAGGAGAAAAACCAAACAAAAACGCCACATTCTTTATGTTTACATGGTTTCGCTGCCATATGTCTATTTCCAGGTTAGAGAAAACATGATGAATGAATGGTATATTACTTATATGTATATTGCTTCTCTCCAGCATTCCTACTCATATATTTGAAAGGATGAAGGACTTTTGAAGACATTCTCATATTCCTAACATCCAGAAAGACTCTCTCTAGTTTGACTTAGGAGGAAGAATAACTAAAAATTTTTCTACATTACTAACATTCAAATAATTTCCTCAAATATGCCCTATTGTGTGTGTGTATGTGTGTGAGTGTGATCTGTAAAAAAAAAGGAGGTCTGAGTAACAGCTGTCTCACCTTCCTTACAAGCTCTCTGCTCTGTGAGGTTAAGGATGTTCATTAAGGACTGAAGACTGAATAAAGGCATCTCCATACCCCTTCCATTCATAAACTCTCTCTCCACTGTGAATTCTTTTATGTCTAGTGAGGGATGAGGAGTCAGTAAAGGCTTTTCCACATTCTTTACATTTATAAGGCCTCTCTCCACTGTGAGTTCTTGTATGTCTGATGAGGTGTGAGGTACGACTAAACAGTTTCCCACATTCTGTACATTCATAAGGCTTCTCTCCACTGTGTGTTCTTATATGTTTAGTGAGGTTTGAGAAATGACTAAAGGCTCTTCCACATTCTTCACATTCATAAGGCTTCTCTCCAGTGTGAATTCGTATATGTGTAGTGAGGGCTGAGGAATTACTGAAGACTTTCCCACATTCCTTACACTCGTAAGGCCTCTCTCCACTGTGAGTTCGTATATGTGTAATGAGAGATGACGACTGACTGAAGACTTTCCCACATTCCTTACATTCATAAGGCCTCTCTCCACTGTGAGTTCTTACATGTGTAGTGAAAGCAGAGGAACCAGTAAAGGCTTTTCCACATTCCTTACATTCATAAGGCCTCTCTCCACTGTGAGTTCGTATATGTGTAGTGAGGGATGAAGAAATAGTAAAAGCTTTCCCACATTCCTTGCATTCATAAGGTCTCTCTCCACTGTGAGTTCTTATATGTGTAGTGAGGGACGAGGAATCACTAAAGGCTTTCCCGCATTCCTTACATTCATAAGGTCTCTCTCCACTGTGAGTTCTAGTATGTCTAGTGAGGGCTGAGGAATTAGTAAAGGCTTTCCCACATTCTTTACATTCATAAGGCCTCTCTCCACTATGAATTCTCAAATGTGTAGTGAGAGACGAAGGATCACTAAAGGCTTTCCCACATTCTTTACATTCATAAGGTTTCTCTCCACTGTGAGTTCTTATATGTGTAATGAGGGCTGAGGAATGACGAAAGGCTTTACCACATTCCTTACATTCGTAAGGTTTATGTCCGCTGTGACTTTTTTTCACACTAAGTGATGAAGGACAGGTTTTCCAACATTCTTTATATTCACCCTTACGAGCTTTCACAGGTGTCTGAAAGGATGGGAAATTTCCTCCATATTGGTTACAGAAATTTCCTCCATATTGGTTAAATTCATGGAGTTTCTCTGCACTTAGATGATTCACAGGAGTGCTTAAGTAAGGATAGCCATACGCTTCTTCATAATTCTTACACTGATAGGTATTGCATCCAGTTTCAGGTACGATACAATGCCTATATGATGAATGATCAATGAAGGAGCCTCCATATTCAAGGCTTTCAGAAGGATTTACCCCTGTAGGAGTTCTTTTGAGCAGCTTTGGAATCTGACCAAAGGATTTTCCACATTGATTACGTTCCTTATTTTCATGGAGGTTCTCTACCATATGCCTTCTGTTAAAAATAGGAAACATGCTGTTAGAAATAAATTCAATAGTATTTCATAACTAAGACAAACAGTGAGGATGTACTTTTTTTAATTTTACCATGTTTCACAGATTAAATAATTTAGTAGAGATTATATTCTTGCCACCAGTTTTGCCAAATAAATTGTGTCTGTATAAAATCAGGTTCTTCTTCAATAGGGTGGCTATGAGTCACCTACAACTTGACGGCACTTAACAACAATAACAGAAACATAAAGATCAGTTGGCCTAGTGGACAGAAAGTGATGCTACCAAGCCAAAGGTAGATGACTTTCAATCCACAGCCCTCGGACCTGTTTTTCATTGTTTTTGGTCAAATATTCTTCTAGGTCGTGCAGCCCTGCTGTGTCTACTTGCTGTACAGAGGTAATCTGTGGTTGCGGTGAAGCTGAACACTGTGACACTGATGTGTCAAATGTCTTAACGGTTACCCATGGCAGACAGTGTTTGGTGGAGCTCCCCAATTAAAACAAGCTTGGAAGCAGGAGTGGCATCCACTTCCATAACAGCTTGCCTCTGGAAACCCTATGAACCTGGAGAAAGGATGAAAGTCACAAAAGTGTTGAGGACTTTCATTCATAGGGTTGCTATGAGTCACTTACAACTCAATGGCACTTAACAACAACAACATGTATAAAATGTGCTTCAAGTATTCAACATACAGTTCACACTTATGAACATATTATGAGAACTCTCTAAACATACAATGTATGTATATATTTATATATTTTTATTTTACTGTCACACACTTTCAGATCTTTTGTTGAGCACAGGTCTCTCCTGTGTCAATAGCACTCACCTCAAGTAACTCCCCTGGCTGTTATGCTGATCTTCAATGCCATGCAATTCACAGATTTCTCCTAACATGGAGGACCAGGTGTCATTCTTCATGATTCGCACTACGGTGTGTTCACTGGATAACTTTTCTCCATCACTAAAGTTTCGAGAAACTGACCAATGATTGAAGTTGAAGTTTACAATATGAAATAAAAAGGAAAGGAATTATTAGGAAGAAAAGGGCAGCTGTGAGCAAAGAGAGACTTTAAGGTGCTGGCTGTTTGAAGACTTGGGCAATGATCAAAAGGCAACTTACTAGGAAATACTTGATGACAACTGAGAATGACAGTGATATAGTGTGTAGTTGGGACAGTCAAGTAGAAAGATATTGGACAAAAATGCACATATAATGTGGAAATACTCAACACTGATGCAATAAGAAAATAGAAAATGCTTACTCCACAAGAACTATTTTTTCATGAAAGTCAGAAAAGTTTAGGTATATGAGAAATTCCATTTCCTCAATCTAAAAGACTTTTTCTGGTTTATCCAAATCTAGTTCCCCCTATACAGAACTGGCCCTTCAAAAAGTAATGCTGCCTGTATGGTCCTACTTGACATAGTGGCTCTGGATAAATCCCATCTCTATACTCCTGAAATCATTATCATGCTTTTACTTCCGTGGTAGAAAAAAAATGGGTAAAGAGGATATGATGCTTATGGGGAAGACAATTAAGAGCAATAAATGTTTCCCTGGCATGAAGGCTGTTCTCCTAGGAGTGTCTTTAAAATGTGAACTTATTTGCAGCAAAGTAATCATGTCAAGTTTGTGATAAACACAGGAGAACTCTTTATTAGGTCTCACGTCACAAATCTCTGTGACTCAAATGATTTCTGAAGAAAACAGTCATACTTAGAGCCTCAAAACGTTTAACCCCAAGACAAATAAGTTAGTTTAATACATAATTTATGTTTGTGTTTTTTTTATGGAAGTCAGAATATTTAAGGCCCACAGAGCACATGACCATGACCATTCTATTCAACAATGCATTCCCAAATGCTGAAGTAAGGTCAATGATCACACACTAATAAATACATTTATTTTAAATTATGCCATCCTTACCTACAGATGCCAGGTTTATGAAGGTTTCCATCATCACATCTATGTATAGTTTCCTCTGAGCAAGATCCAGCAAAGCCCACTCTTCCTGGGTAAAGTCCACAGCCACATCCTCAATGATCACTGAATCCTAAAAAATCCCACATATTCTGGTTCAGCCAAGGTACCACATACCATATTCTCCAGTGTGTGCAAAAGAATGGGAAATGCTGGCAGTGCAGAGTTGGACAATTCAAAGAGATGTGATACAAAATCTAATCTACCAAGGTCTACTCTAGGTTTTAGCCACCGGCCTTGTCGCTTCGCTATCTATACTCACTTTCTCACTAATTACAGCCTGTCTCACAGATTTAATAATAACACTAGACACAATGAACTAAGTTTATATTTCCAAATCTAACTGTGGCCAATCTCAGTCTAGTTTTTTCTATCAATGGTCTAGAATAGCTAGAACACATAGTATAAATTAAAAACAAATATTCTGCAGAATCACAATGTATTAGGACCACCTGCTAAAAATAGAATATCCTTTTTCATAAATATTCATTTCATGTCTGTCACCTAGTTTTCAATAATTCAGCAGCTGTACTGCCATCTTCTCATCCCTTTTATCAAGTCAGGTTATTAAGAAGTTCAAACACATTTAGGTGAGCAACTTAGACACAGGAGAATACAAATGTCTTGACAACTATCGAACTTTTGAGACGTGATGCTACTCCACTCCACTTAGTAGTAAGGATTCCTTCACCAAACATACATTCACAGAAACAGCAAACAAGACACCTAAAGAAACACAAGCTACTGTTACACTAGGATGAAGAGCTCTTTTCCTGATTAAATGTAATTAGCATTACGAGATTACAGTCAAATTGTTAAATGTTTTCTTATATATATCTTTGACACACAAAAAAAATTATTTTGTAAATAAGTTAATCAAAGGACAGAAAATTATGAAATTCCCTGTGAATCGTATGAAACAGAGATTTAAATATTAGGCCTCCATTTTTTTCTCTTATTCACATTTACAGCTCCCAGAAGGCACACAAGCATGACTACTCAAGTTCTGACCAATGGCACCTTCTAAACTATAGAACCAGCTTATGAAATAATATCAACCTCTTGACTTGCCCCTATACAAGGGCAACACTGTGGTTTGTGATGTTAATACTAGACAGAAGAGTAGAGCATCTGTAGAATAGAAAAGTTCCATTTGTCAGGGCAGAGGGTGAAGTGCATTACCTGGATTATCGCAAATCAACTCTAACAAGACAGTGTTACAGAACACTTTGACCCAAAGTAAAAAGTCAGAGGTTTCCTCAACTGCAGAAGGCCATATTTCAAAGAGATCAAGAATAATCCTAACATTGACTACTCATCCACTCACTCTTCCATTGGGTTTCCCTGTGAAAATTACACAGGAAGAGATGCTCATCTTTCTTCTGTGGAGGCACTGATGGATTCAAACTATCAGGAAGGCACGGCCTTTGGTTAACAGCACAACTCCCTAAGAACTATGCCACCAGAGCTCCCTCCATTCATACACATGGCAAAATGATCATTTCTTGAGCAACAAGGGTATGTGAAAGCCTCTGAAAAAAACCTCACACAGTAGCTCATTTTCTCCTAATAATGGCTCTCCTAAGCAGATACTGTTTCAAACAATTCATTGCTGAGGAACATTACAGACAACAAATCATATACGCAATGTCACATAATTGGAATGTGGTTGACCTAGAGGCAGAACCCAAGGCTCAATTCCTGACAACTTTTCTGTTCAAATGCAGTTTTTCTCTTAGTCCACAATAATACCATAGATAATCTACAGTTCTGTGGAGTACTGAACTATAGGAAAGAAAATTTTATTAAGACAACCTGAGATGCTCCTTTTCTAGGCTAATTTCTGTTTATCAAGCAAGACTGTTTCCCCTAAGGCCTTTACTCTGGCTCCTTCCCTTATAAAACTGATATAGATAATATGACACAGAGCCTACTTTATATGGGACAAAGAAGATACACCAGTAAACTAAACAGAACTATCCAGCTACAGGCTAAATAAAGCAGGACTTTGAACTGGTTCGTCATTGTAAACACAGGCCACATAGGCATTACCTATTAACTAAATCTGTGGCCTGAGGAGTTTAATTCAACCAGATAAGGCTGCCTGTCCATTTTTGTTACTTCTTTTCAATATCACACTGGAAGTCCTAGCCAAAGCAATAAAGCAAGGAAAGGAAATAAAAGGCCTCCAAACTGGCAAAGAGAAACTAAAACTATCTCTATTTGCGGGTGATATGATCGTCTATCTAGAAAATACCAAAGATTCAGTAAGAAAACTACTGAATCAAACTGACCAATTCAGCAAAGTGGCAGAGGACAAGTTCAACATACAAAATCAAACTTCTCTTCAGTAACAAAGCAAACTCAGAAAAGGAAATAAGGAAAGCAATGCCATTAACAACAGCCAATCAAAAGACGAAATATTTAGGAATAAATCTAATCAGAGATACAAAAGAACTTTACAAAAAAAAAAAAAACAAACCCTCGCAAAACTATAAAGCATAACTATGAGAAATAAATGGAAAAAACATGCTCTAATGCTGGAAGACTTAACATTGTGAGAATGGTAATATTACCAATGTTGTTGTTATTGTTGTTGTTGTTGTTAAGTGCCTTCGAGTCATAGGTGACTCATAGCAACCCTATGAACGAAAGTCCTCGACAGTTGCGTGACTTTCATCCTTTCTCCAATATTACCAATAGCAACCCACATCCAAAACAATCCCTATCCAGATACCCTGAAAACACAATCATTGAAAAACACAATCATCAACTCAATATGGAAAGGAAAAAGAACCTGGACAAGCAAAGAGACACTAAAGAATAAACACTAAGTGGAATACATCACTCTCTTATTTCAGAACCTACTACTCAGCCATTGTATTCAAAATAGAGTGGTACTGGTACAATGACAAGTACATTGACCAATGGCATAGACTTCACAACCCATAAATAAATTCACCCATATATGGATGACCGATCTTTGACAAAACTGGCTACTCAACTGCAGAAAACTGAAATTAGGCTGATATTGGACAACAAACATGGAAACTAACTCAAGATGGATCAAAGAACTCAGAGTAAAAGTTAAAAAGTATAAAAAGTCATGAAAGAAGAAACTGGGGCAAACTCAGGACCCTTAGCTATGACTTAAATAGACTATCAACTCTAACCAACAGACACATGATCAACAGAGGATAAATTAGATGATTGATTGTTTTTTCTAAGTGCTGTCATGTAGATCACCCCTCACAGTGATCCTCTGAAGAGCAGACTGGAATTTTGCTCCATCTTTCATCAACCTCATGATCTCCACTGTGCTCAAGCCCACTGTGACAGCATAGTGTCTTCTCTTTCCTTGACCTTCCTCCGCATGTTGTCTTTTCCAAGGACTGATACCTCCTGACAACACACCCGAAGTAAGTGAGACAAAGTTTCCCCATCTTTGCTTGTAGAGCAGGTTGCAGCCCAGGGGCAGACTTAAAGGTTCCAAGTCATCCTTTTTTGCCACATCTTTCTCTTTCAGAGCAACTGGAGAGTTCAAACAATCGTTTAGCATCTGAACACTTTACCCGCTGTGCCACACCAGTCCCTATCACTGCACCACCAAGGCTCCTAAAGTCTTTCAGAATTCTGGAATTCAGACATGCTAATGAACTGTCTTTGAAGACCCTTATTTATGGGTAAACCTGAACTTGATCTGCTCCTACATTTTTTACAGCCTCAGAAACTCCCAATGGAAGGTCAGCTATGGGTCAGCTCTGACTCAACAGCAACAAGAATAAAGACACGATACATAACCCAATAAGGAGCTGTGCTGGGAGTCCTAGAGGGAGACTCTGAGGATGAGTTCCCAAGACAGAACCATTCAGCTGAACCCTTCCAAGTTTAGGGGCCCACTGAAACGAAACAGAGAATAAAATGTAGCTGTTCTAAGTCACTATGTTTTGTGGTTGGCATTACACTCTCATGAGGACGATCTGTGGCCTAATTAGTTCACTACCTCATTATCCATTAATTTCCTCTAATTGCTCTTCCATCCAGTTTCTGATGGCCATTCCTATTTGTCACACCATCTTCCAATAGCTATAGCCTCTAACTAGCCCTCTCAGTCTTCTGTGAGAGAAGCTGTTACTATTGTGTTGGCCAATCTCTTTAATGGTCAGAGTTACTCTTAGTCCCTTCCAGCTGTGTTGTTGTTATGCATCATCAAGTTGGAACTGACTCATAGCTGACCCTCCAGTGGGTTTTCACACGTGAGGAGACTGCCCATCTTTCTTCAGTGAAACAGCTGGTGGATTTCAACCATATGCCTTTGGACTGGCAGCACAAATGCTTATCACTTACCCATCAGAGCTCCCTCTTCCAGCCATGCTGTTGTTAAGCGTCATCAAGCCTAAACCAACCTATAGCTGACTCTCCAGTGGGTTTTCAGAAACAACAGAACGCACAGGAGGAGAACACCCATCTTTCTCTCACAGAGCAGCTGGTGGATCCAAACTGCGTACCCTTGAGTTGGCAGCACAGTTCCTTACCACTATGCCACCAGAGCTCTCTCTTCTAGCCATATCCCACGATAACATCAAGTGATAAATTACCTTTTATCCCACTAGAAAAGTTTAGGTGGCCAATAAGAGTTCAGTTTATACTAATCCCAGACCTTATCCTGCTAGCCACACAAAAGCCCTTTCATACAGGTCCCACCTCCTGTTGTCATGGCCCCTTGTATAAATAACCCCATGTATGAACCACATTAAGTGTGCAGTGTCGGAATTAGTGAGACTGGCTCAGGACAGAGCAGGGTTCAAAACTGCTGTACATAAGTTCGCTATGAGTTGCAGGCAACTTGATGGAATCTAACACATGGCCTGCACTGAGGTTTTTTGAGTTTTTCTCCCTTGAGCCTTTGAAAATTAAGTTCTATTTGATTTCTGGCCTTTTTACAGGAGTTTCACTTTCTCAGGTCACACCTGACAGGCCACACTCATGACACCTAAGTGTCAAAGTTAAGACATATACAGCAATCTTTGAGTCAAACTAAAGACATATACAGCAATAGATAACGGAAACACT